ACTATATCAAAGCTTATAAAAATGGCGAAACTATATCAAACACTTAGTAAAAATTTAGCGAAACTAAAGGTTTTACCTTTTGCCAAATCCAAAATGAATTTAGACAAGCAACCTTAGCAATAAGTCAAATTCGTAGTGATATTACATATAATCGTAATCTTCAAAATATAAATGAAACAGATTGACAATTTCATCAATTGCATATAACAACACCTATTATTCAAGATGATGATATAGATTTAATTGAAAATTAAAATATTAATGAAGATAATTATGAAAATCAAAACATTGAAAATGAAATAGTTGAACCTATTACAAATGAACATGAGATTTCTTTAAATGTAATTATTAATAAATGGATTGAAGTTATACAAAAAGAAAATCAGTTTGATAATAATGAAGACACTATATTTTTAAATAGTAAGTGGGAAAATGATTTTAATGTTGATAATAGACAAATTCATCCTGCTGATGATCAACAAGTAAAATGGAGTTTAAGAATTTTGTTTATTATAAATTTAGAACCACCAATATATTTAGGTACCAATTTTGATTTTTCTTTATAAATTTGATTGAAATTATTATAATAATAAAGTAATTCATTTTAAAATATAAAAATAAAATGTTTTTAAAAATTATTATTTGATTGGTTATTTATTATTTATCATGTGATTTTGGTCATAAAGTCATATACTTTTAATTAATGATCATATGACTGGTCATTGGTCATTGGTCATATAGGTCATATAGGTCATTAAAGGTCACTGGTCGTACATGTTTGAATATAATCGATTAAGGCAGATTTACAAAACATGCTTCTCATTATTTAATTAAATTTCATAACAAATTTATTATAATTCTCTATTTGTACTATTTGTACTTGGATCTCTTTAAAAAAAAATTACATTAATTGTAATTATAAATAATCTTATTTATAGTTTTAATTATAACCCTATAAAAATTATTGTCTATAATAATACAACATCAATATTATACATTTTATACATACCTTTTATTTTCTCCAATACTGAGCCCATTTATGTATAGTTTCAATAACTTGTGGAAACATTGCATTAACTGAATCATTAATTAAATTTTGGAAATATTTAATGGCTTCTTCTTCTGTTAGATCTAATCTAAATTTCTCTTGAACCTAAATGGTTTTTAAGACGAATATTAAAAAAAAAAAAAAAATTTAAGAAATCACGCCGCCAAAAGCATTCCTTAATAAGTAATTAATTACCTTCCAGACAGCCTTATCAGGTTCAATTTTAATATCGGGTACATTTGCGTCAACCATTAAAGCAAATAAATTAAGAATCAAATTTGCATTTTTCCTTAAGATGTTAAAAGCAATATAGCAATAACTTTTGAATCGTTGATAATGAATAGAATTCGCTCCTCCCATTGCTTCAACCATTTCTTTACAAAGTTTCATTGGTGGTGGAAAAGGTTTTGGATCTCTTCCCAAAATAAATCCAAAATCAACATGGAATAATTTACCTATCGTTTCAACATAAAAAAAACTTGTCAGATAAGAATAGTTTAAATCATATTAGCATAACTTTAAATTCGACCTACCGTCAGGTGTAAGTAACAAATTATCCAAATGTCTGTCACCTACTCCCAATAAATATGTAATAACACAATATCCAGCTATGACGAAATAAATAAAAATATAAATAAAAGAAACAAACTAACTCTAAAATATTCACGCTTACATACCACAACTTTTAACATAGGTATCCATAACTGCAGGACTAATTCCATATGTTGCCTTTTCCTCCGGATGATGCGCCTTAAAGAACATCAAAAGGCTACCATTATATTCGCTTAATACATTGGCTAATGAAAATGATGGGATGAATTGCATCAAACCATGATCTGGACCAGTAGCAAGGACTTTGTATGGAGTCAACTTTAGATCCAAATTTTCCTTTCGTAATAGCTTATCCATAAGCGTGATAATTTGAATGACAAGTTGATCCTGACGAAGATCATCTCCGGTTTTGAAGATTACCTAAATAGTAGATAGTTATACAATATTCTAATCAATAAAGATTGGGTCAAATTAAACTATATATGCTTACGGGATACTCGCCACCATCGACTAAAGAGAATGTCAACCGTAATGGAAACAAGTTACTCTTGAAAACCGTTGCTTTTTCTAATGATTTATCCAATAATACATTAGGAGACAATTCTTTAATTAAATGAAATGGTTTTGTTCCACTTTTACCTGGAATAATTCCAGTCACGTGGATGCGTGCGTCAAGAGGTAAAGGCAAAGGAGGGAATTGGGAAAATTGATTTTTAGGATCCGATATTAAAGCTCTCAATCTCTCAATCTATAAGAAGATAGTTCAATTTAAAACAATAGTATACTCTCAAAAAAAAGTTAGTTACAACAATTTTATTAACTACCTTTTTTGGTCTTATGTCTTTCATAGTACGAATCTCTTTAGAAATAGACGATAATTCAGCAACTAATTCTCCTTGTCTACGAAGAATATCTCTCCGTTGACCTCCATTGGGGATCTATAAAAAGTATTAAGAAAAAATCACTGAAAAATAAAATGAAAGCATATTAAAATACCTTACCTCCATTATGGCTATCATAAATTGATAAGCAACTTTAGCATACATTTTACCAACAACTTTATCTTCACATTCAACCATAAGGTACCTAATCTTGAAACAAAATTAAATCTTTTCCCCTCCTTATGAAAAATAAATGTGCATATAGAAAAGTAGAATTACTTACCAATGAAAATTATTTCCAAGTATTGGGTTCTTAACAGCTCTCTCAATCAAAAATTCTGCTAAACTTGATTCATATGATGAGCTGGACTTGTCACTTATGTTTTCAAATTTTAGGGCTTGTACAAGTTGCAGAAGATACAATAATAATTCCTGAAACAAAAGTTATGGATTAAAAAAAAAAAATTCTTAAAAATGTATTCGACAAATCAACTTACATCGTCATCGGCCTTCTTTAATTGACTGACAGCATATCTACGAACTGCTCGATTCTCAAAATTCGCTCCCAACAATTCAAGAGCATCATCCAAATCAATGTCTACCCATTTGAACAATAATTCAACAGCTTGTTTAGCTTCCGTTGCATCTGTCCACACAACACATTTCAAAAATTTTGTAAGTGCCTACAAAAAAAAATTTTTTTTTTTGATAAATATAATTTATTGATAAAAAAGAACAATTAATTAAAAAATAAAATGTACCCTCTTTTCACGAGTAAGGTAAAATCTATATTTCCAAATATTATCTTTTTCTTCTTCTGTCAAAGGTTGTGTCGGAGGATATTTCAAAATTTCCTATAAAAAAAAAAGAATATTATATATATATACACATACATATTTGGCGCTAAAAAATAAAACTAATTTTTTTATTTTACTAACATTAAGCTCATCACGTAACTTGGCATTCGGTTTTAAGTCTCGATCAAGTGATCCACTTCGATGACTTCTCACCAAACGCCGATGCTTTGCTTCAACTGGATTTTCCCCAGTAATTTCTGGATCCATGATTAACACCATATTTGATTCAGACGATGAAAACAACGGTATAGGCTGTGTTTGCCCATTCACTGGGGTCATTGAAACTACTGGTAGCGAATATTCCTATAAAAAAAATGAAATTGATGAATCTCGAATTCTTTTTTAAAATATAATTAAGCTGTAAGATTAAAAATACTAAATACCGGTTCGCTAAATACTAGTGGAAAATCGAATTTTGGTAAATATATATATAAGTAAAGTTTCTTTGACTTTGACGATTCGGCCTAATTAATTGAAAATTCGAATATTAAAAAACATAGTAAAATAAAAATGAATCAATTTAAAAATTTACCTCATGAATTTTCTCAATTTGTCGGAATGCAAGGTGATCTAACCATTCAAGCCTGGGCATTTCTTTTCTCTCATATCTTTTAACAAGCTAAACGGTTATAAAAATGACATAAATATAAGAATAATAATGAATAATAAAGAACTAACTATGAATGTTCTAACTCACTTTCTCTAACCGATCCATTTCATCCTCTTCACCAACCTTACTTGGTGTAGTTGTACGATCACGACCATCAGCTTCAACATCAGGCCAAAGAAACAACTTGTGTTTTCCTTTTCTGAGTGTGCTATTTACAAAACAACGAAACTAAGACCTTTACTAATAATTTTATTGTTATTTGGTAAATCGAAAATAATTCTCACTTGTGTTTTCCAAAAAGTCGAAATGTAGTCCCACCAATAGGAACAACTTTACGTGGTCCATAAATGTCCCATATTGTGAAGGCAAGTTGGGCAGTAGCAGGTAAATCACGAAATTTTACAGGAATTGTGAGCCATTCATTCCAACTACCTTTCAATTAAAAGATGTTGATTATTATCAGAAAGAATAAAATATCGCGATTGGCCTTATCAATTAAATACCAACAGCCAATGATTCTTGAACGTTTTATATGAAGTTCGAATTGGTATAGTCAATGGTTTATTATCCGCATATAATTGACAAGTTACATATAATTCGGAAAAATCGCTAGAATTCAAGGAGAAATAAGCGTTAAAACACCTGAGAGGCTTCAAATTGAAAATTTATTATAAAATTTACCTGGTTTGCAAACCAGTAAATTTTAGAGAAGGTTCTTCGAGTAATGTAGTAAATGGTTTTGTTTCTCGAGTTCCTTCAAGAACTGAGCTGTAATTTTGGCAAAGGTTGTCAAACAATGTTCAATGTTAAAAAAAACAAATGCATTATTATGACTTACATTCGGACTCTTAATGGAAAATTTAAGTCTTTGGTTAAACAGAAAGAATATGAAAAATCTTTAGATTGAGCTGATTCGTAATCCATTCTTCCATTAATGTTTTGGGGGAGAGATTTGGATCAAAATAATTTTAGCAAAATTTATACGTGGGAATTTCGCTTTCACGTGATCAACATGTGAAAAAGTATTTATAATTTGCAGTGTCAAAAAAAAAATTCCGCACTTTATCATGATTCGGTTTCTTTGCCAAAAACGCTTGAATTCAAACTTCCTTTTTCCCAGAATTACAAAGAACATTTCATACCACTTTATAAAACCAAATTCCTGTATTAACCAGTCCTTCTATACTCGCCAATGTCATATTTCTGAGCGTATTTCAAAGCAAACTAGTATTTGAATTATGAATAATTATATTAATTTCCATTGAAACGTTTCAATTCACGAAAAAGGTTTAACAATTTCAATTTTACACGTGATATATAGACGCGAAGTTTGTAGGGGCCAATTTTGTTAAGAAAACGTTTATAAGTACAACAACTACTTGGAATTATTGGTACAATCCTGTCTATTGCGAAGGTTTCTAGTTTATTTATAAGATTATCTTTTGTTAATAAAAGTTTATCAGTTGATCGATTATTTTTAAATTAACAATCGAATAGTCAATTCCGGAGGTATTGCATTTTGAAATATTTCATTTTATTCATTCTTTACGATTCGAATTAAAAGTTAGTATGAGAAATAATTCTTTAATGTTTATAATAGATCAAACTGTTCTCATTAATAATATTGAACAGCAATCTGATCATTTCGATCATGTCGTTCCAATTCCACCTCAGAGGAAATTGTTTAGCAAAGGAGATATAACGTTTGGTTCAATCCTAGGATTTTGTACTGGTTTCCTATTCAAAAAAATTGGAAAAATGGTCGCTATAGCGGTTGGAATCGGTTTCGTTTTTCTACAGGTAAGTTTAACATTGATAATGTTTCTTAATGTTTAGAATTTAGTACTGATATTTTCTTGTAGTATATGGCATATCAAGGATTTATTACCATACATTGGCAACGAATTAATAATGCTTTTACTCGAGAAATGGATGTTGATCAAGATGGTCAGGTTACGGTTAGAGATACAAGATCCAAATTAAGAACACTTATTGATTTGTTAACCGTAAAATTTCAATTCAAGAGCTGTTTCGTTAGTGGATTTTATTTTGGATTGAAATATGGTTAAAATTACTTGTTTCTTTTAATAAAATCAAATGTTTTAAAGATATAAGTATGAAATATTAAAAAAAGATCGTTTTCTAAAAAAAAAAAAAAAGAATAATTTCATCTAAATTAATGGGCTACTAGACCATGGAGCCTAAATATATTTTTATTATTTGAATTTCCTCAACAAAATTGGAAGAACCAGTTTAAAATCGAGATTGTCTATTGTCAATGTTGCACAACTTAATAAAATGTTAGGATTAATCAATCATATTAAAAGCCACTTATTCTAAAGTGCAAAATATGCAAAAAAAAAAAAATTTAGTGAGATAGTTCCACTTTTTTTAATTTAATTATTTTTTAATATAAATATAAATAAAGATCAAAAAAAAAGTGTAGTACGTATCTTAATTTTCTGTTCTAACCTGATTTACTCAACAGTTTCACAGATTTTAATTTTTATGTTCGATCACGTGAAAAATGCAAAAGACGCCCCTAATAATTTAGCCAAAAATTCTTGGGTTACATTTTAGGGCTTTTGTCAATAGAAACACATAAAAATGAGATGCATTTCTATTGACACAGCCCCATATAATTACTACTACGTAAGGTAATTATTAAAATGATGTTACCCAATTATATCAAATATTATATATGCTCTTTTTTAATTTATTATATTTTTCATTTAAAACATTCAAAAAAAAAAGATGGATGAAAATAATTATTAATGACAAGTAATATGTGCCATATTATTTTTCTTTCAGTAATAAGGTTCAATAACTTTAATAATCGAGAAAGTAAAGACTCTTTAATAAATACGATCCACTTATCGATAGCTCCGTACCGAACCACGACCATGATTTCTGGATCTAGAATGTGAACGCGAACGCGATTTATATCGAGTTACTTTTTCAACATGTCGTCTATTACGGTCATATTCACGCCCTCGAGAACGAGAACGTGGACGAGAACGTGAACGAGGACGAGAATGTGAACGAGAACGAGATTTTTCCCGAGTATAATTTTCGACGCGCCTTTTTTCACGTCCACGAACGTCATCTCTACTAAATCTAGTCAATGATCGTGATCTTTCCCTTGTAATATTTCTTTCTGCTTTTACCTCATCATCTTCATTCCTTTTTCTTTTTTTCTTTTCTTCTTTCGACTTTTTCTTTGCTTTCTTTCTCTCTTTTTTTAATTTCTTGATAATAAACTCTCTCATAGGATCATCCGGATCAACTTTACGCTCTAAATCTTCAGAGTCTTCGGTATCCGATTCAGATCCACCATCTGGGAAAAATAACAATAGCAACAATAATACTTAATATAAAATAGAAAAAATATATATATTTATATTTTTTTAAAAAAAATAAAAAATAAAAGCCAATAAATGAAAATAACCTTTTTGCATTAAAGGAGGAGCGGCATTCATTCCTGTTCTTTTTTCTCCATCTTTCGTTTCAGCACTTGCATGATCAACTCGTAGGGTACGACCTAAAAGCTATAATAAATATTGAAATTCAAATAGGGGGAAAAAAAAAGAATTATTTTTCCTCTTACTATAATATTATTATATTATTATTATTTAAAGCCTTTATGAAATTTTATGTAAAAAGATTGTTGATTTGGCAAAGAGAACGAATGACCTGCTCGAAAAAAATAGTCAGAGACCATTTATGTTTAAAATGACAATGCATTATGATGGACACATGAGAATTTACCGTATAATTATTTAAATTATCAACTGCTAAAATTGTACTCCTTTGATCTTCATATCTTAAAAAACCAAAGCCTTTAGATTCACCAGTTTCTCTGTTTCGAACTAATTGAATATCAAGTATTTCACCATATCTATATAATTATTTATAATTAAAATTTAAAAAAGTGTACTAAAAAAAAAACCACTAAATAAATAAAGGCTTACTGAGAAAATATAGTAATTATGTCTCCTTCTGTCAAATCAAACGGTATATTTCCGACAAAAATATAAGGAGAATCTCTATATTGTGCGTGCCAAGAACCAGAAACTGAAATGTTTCGTTCTATTTCTCGAGAGTTTATTCGCTGAATCTCTTTAGTTACACTATCAAAGAAAAAGTGAAAATTTTATTATTATGAAGAAAATTGCAATAAATAAAAATAAATAAATAAATAAAGAGACTGACTTCATTGTTTAAAGTCGGTATAAAAATATCAAGTGTGTTGAAATGAAAATTTTGTGCCAACTAAAAACTAAAATTAGCAGTTAAATTTTAATTTTCTAGAACTTTAATTTTTATAGTTTATGATTAGCAATTTAATTTATCACATACAAATATTGGGTTAATTTATAAAATTTTCTTTTAATAATTCCAAAATTAATTATATCACCATATAATACATTTAAATTTCTAATGACAACACCTAAAATAAATTTGAAAGTTAAGATATAAAAAAAAAAATAAAATGATGATAAATAAAAAAAATTATTTTTTTTTTTTTTTTTTTTTTTTTTTTTTGTCTCTTAAGGATATACAAAGTATAAAAAAAGAAAATATAAAAGAAATAAATTGATTATTATTGTATTTAATACATAATTTCATACTCAACAAGGAAATATAAAAAAAATCTGAATAATAATAAAAAAGAAAAAAAAAAGGATGTGAGTAAAATTATACAAAATACTACAAATCGATAAAAAAAAATTAAAAAATTTATTATTTTTTTTATTTTTTTTGAACTATGTAAAATATCGATACGCGATAAACGGATATGGGATTTATATAAACAAAGTATTAAATCAAGTTAATAAAGGGATTACTATGTAAAAGGAATTTTGTATAAAAATTTTGTAACTTTTAGCCAAAATAAAGAATCAAAATAAAAATAAATTGTCCCACACATCTTCAGTGTTTGGTAGAAAAATTGTAATAAATTAAGGAGAATGCCTCTTTGCACTCTTACCATTTGTCAACATCCTTAATTGTTTATTTTCCAGCACTTGCAGTTGTAGAGTTAGGTATATTTCTCAATTTGTCTAATTCTTTTTCTACTAGCTTTCGCTCCATTTGACTCGATCCATTTTGTTGTTTGCGAACAGGATTAGCAGTTTGTTCATTCGGTGATTGAGAATTCCCTGAAGTAGTCGGTGCTATATTATTATTCTTCTTCGAAAGTAGATTTTGGAAGAAGTTGGCAAGAACCTCATTTTGATTAGCTACAGGACCATTTGAAGGAGGACCGGACGCGTTTCCATTTAAGTCTGAAGATAGTGAAGGAGCCTTGGACGACATGTTTGTCTGTAATTTAAATTATTAAGTTAATTTGTTATTTTTTTTTTTTTTTAAAAAAAAAATTGATAATATACAAAATAAAAAAATATTTACTTTAGGTCTTGAAGGAGTGACGTTAATTTGAGAATGTTCAATATCGGGGATATCTGCACCAATGTTGCAATACGAATAATCGGGTGCTCCCATTGGTCCGACAACTGAGGGCGAGGATTGGCGTTCGCTATTAGCCTTTTGTAAGGTGTCATAATGCCGGTTGAAGAAATCTTGTTCATCCTCGGCGATAATCATGCGTGGGACTGATAGTGGCTGTACAAGAAAAAAAAGAAAAGAAAATGTTACCAACTTGGAAGAAAAATAACCCATGAACGAAATAAATAACATACTTTATCGGAATCCTCATGGACAGCAACGTCCTCGTACAACTTTTTAGCACCAATAATTTCCTTTTCTTCTCCTTCTGATGTAGAAGGTTTATTATCCCCCATATCCAATTCCCAACCTTGAAGTAATCCCTCACAATCAAATCCATCTCTTAAAACTTTAATTTTACCCCAAGAATCCCAACCTGTGGGAACCAACACTGTATCACGCTCAACAACGTGTGCCTTAATATTAAAAGTGTATGCAGATTTAGTGTCACTGGATGAAGATTTAGAACCAAGGAGTCGATGAAGAATATATTTTCTAAGGTTGACAAATGTTTGAGGTTGACGTGTAGTTGTATAAAAAAGCCCTGCACCATCTGAAAAAGATTAAATTTTAATTAATATATGAATGAAGTTATAACGGGCCGACAAAAGAATCACCCACTTACACTTGAGGCAAATTGTTCGTAAAGTTTGCTGTATGTAATCGAATTGATCTTCTTTGTAATCTAACTCACGCTCAAGATTACTCACATTATCAGACTAAAGGAATTAACAAATAATAAATAAAATTAATTTTTATCTTTGATTATAAATAACGAATAAATTATAATAAATTGACTGAATACCTTGGTACAAACCACCACTAATGGCACTGCTAGATTTGTAGTCAAAACTCCTTGTCCTAATGGCAATGCTACATCATCTTCTTCACTATTAACTGTTGTATTTGGATTAGCGACGTCTGGCTCCGAATACTTTTGAATAAATTTTTCGACTATATGAAAATAAAAAAATTAACCGATCAAATTAATAATTAAATCAAACATAAAATTGTTCGGATGTTTTTTTTTGAGACTTACGTAATTCTTTCAATTCGTTAACAACTGCTTTTCCTTTGGTCCAACCATCCTTAGACCCGATATTTCCTTCCTTTTTTACACATTCGATACCTAATTCTACAAATTTAATCCATTTTTGTAATGTTTCGATAAAAGTCCAAGGACGTGCCCAATCTAAGACGATCACAACAAGGGAATGCGGAAGAGTAGAAGAATTAAGAGCAAAACGAAGGAGTGGTTGATAGGAATCAAAGGAGCCAGCAAGTTGATATAATCCAAGACGAGCAAGCGTATCTGTAAAATTGATAAAATGAAATAGAGAGCATTAATAATATGAAAAATACGCACAAAAAATTTAATCGTGCCTTCATCGAAATCGAATCATCATAATAATTTAAAAACATATTAACCTTCTGCATCGTCATCCTTAACTTCAATAAAAGTATAACTTAAAGCCAAGTCACTATTCGAACGTTTGTCATTGGTAGGAGGGTCATCAGTTCCAGTGCCAACGCTTTTTGACATAGTACCGTTAGCATTAAGACCTTCATAAACCTCTTCGTCTTCTTCACCTTTAAGTTGTCTGATGAGGGTGGATTTGCCTGAATCTCTGTCGCCTTGAAGTATGAGATAAAGCACGTGACAAATTTGTTAACTACATTTGCAATAATGAGAGAACCACCAGCTAGCATATTTTTTAAACCCTTTCCTCTTGAACCTTTGAATATACCAACGAACCTAGAATCAACAAACTCTTTGTAGGAACGATTTTTGAGGAAGCAACTCCTTGAAGAATGGAAGACCAAATATCTTCTGACTCGTTTGTCGAGTTATCATTATTTAATGAATCTTTGTCGTCGGCCAGCGAAAATTCTCCTGATTTAGGGGCCATTATTATACGCTTATCGTTAATTCTGAAGTATAAAGAGTGGGGTTAACGTTTTTTTAAAAAAAAAAAAAATTTCGATTATAAGATTTTTTTTGGCGGCTACTAATGGTAGAGTTAATAGTGACGTTGCCCTATTTACAGTCGATGTCACGAGTGATTTTCTTGTTGTAACTTTATATGGGAAAAGTACCGTTAGGGTCCGCAGTTAAAAAAAATTTTTTTGAACACAGTTTTTTTTTTTCATTGTGGCGGAGGTGCATTTACAATTTATTTTATTTTTTTATAATATAGAGGGTGATGTTTAATGCGCCTTTTGCGAAAAGCTTATGATAATGTGCAATTTTTATGTTTGTCGGATTTATTTCCCTCAACAAGAAACAAAGAATAAAGAATCAAATCCCTTTTCCCTCCTTCATGATTATGATATCATAAGAATGTGAAGAATGTGATATCCAGATCATTTATATAAATATAATTATCTGATACAAGTGTACAAGAATTTCATTACAGGTTATACATACTGTATGCACTCACTTGTATTTCTGGAGTTAGGGAATACAATATTACGCTTAGCTTCGGTTGACCTTGTGTGGCTCTTTATATATTTTATATTACTTTAATCGCATATCCCAGTTAATGGCTTTGATATAATCCGATTGTCATGATAAAACTTAACCATACTTGAAACGTTGGAGGCAAATCTGTCATAAGATATATTGGAGCATATTATAAACCTATTATGTCACGTGAATAGTCGGAAAATTTACCTAATTTAAGAACGATGATGTTTTTGAACTTTTCATTATCGTCTTTCGTCATACATCATGTTTGAATGTATCAATTACCCCGGCGAAAATTTTTTTTTTACTTTAATATGCATGATATTATATAGCAGAGGCTTGAATATTAATTAATTTAAATAATAATTGGTTAATCAATTATGTATGAATTACTAAATTTATTTAACAGGAAGAGAAATCTTTTAAGTTCTAACTCAATTACTCAATTACTAAACGCTATTTCTATCACCATCATTATTATCTTGATCATTGTTAAAGTTACTGGACTCTGTGTTTTCTTTTTCATCTGATGCCGCACGAAATCTTCTAATAACTCTCGTCATAATCAACACTTTTTTTAATTTAGAAAAGTTTTCAGAAACCTTTTTATTTTTTTCACGTTGTGATTTTCTTACCGCTAATTTTTTTCTTTGTTTTGAAGTAGGCCATAACCTTGCCGTTAGTTCAAATGACCAATGTTTAAATATCAGTACTTTAATGAAATCGAGAAAGATAAATATTCCCAAAGATACCTGCGAATTTTTGTAGAAATCAAATTAGTATCAAATAATCAAAGTAAGAAAAAAAATAGTTTTACTTGATCTATTATATAATCGAACTTACCAAAAGAATTATTACAGCCATTAATAAATTTATGGATGAAGATAACCATCCAAATACCGAAATCAATAATGCAAACAATTGTGTACCAATTATTGATGTCACAAACAATAATGATGGTAAATTTTCCCAGAAATGTCCCGGTATTCTTGTTGCAAATATTAAAAAATGTGGTGCACTTGAAATATGTAAATACATTACAGTATGTAATTGTTCTAAAAAATAATTTCATTTAGTGAAATATTATAACATGTTTAACATGTGATTAGTTAAAATATTGAAAGCTTTGAATACCTGGAGCAACTCCAATAACGTCTCTGAAAATGAAGAAATGTGCAAAGCTAAAACCGGTCAAGAAAATTCCCAAGATTATACTTAAAAAAATAAGTTGACCAAGACGCCATTTATCAGGACGTTCAGAAATCTGGAAAAAAAAAAATTTTTAAATTAAACAAAGAAATCAATAAAATGATTCGGAACCTAAACTTACTTGAGCATTATCTACTGATATAACGATAGTAGCTGCATCATTTAATATTGCTATCAAGATCAATAATACAGCTGGTAATGTCCAATTGAAAGCTAGAATGACGATGAAGAAGAATAGTAAAAAATGAATAGTAGATGTGATCCTATACAAAGCATAGGATCTCATTCTCTGAAATATTGCACGCGAAGTATAAATGCCGTCAACGATGGTCGATAATCCTGGAGCCAACAAGACAATATCAGCAGCTGAACGTGCGGCGTCAGTACATCCCTGAACAGCAATCCCAACGTTTGCTTTCTTAAGTGCAGGAGCGTCATTAACCCCATCACCCTTTATGAACAATAAAAAATTATAATATAAATATTTGAACAAAAAAAAAAAACTCCCTCTGCAACGTGGTATATACGCAAATATTTTGAAAACGTACAGTCATTGCGACTAAATAACCTTTCTTTTGTAAGAATTCCACGACTTTAAATTTATGTTCGGGTGTGACTTGAGCGAAACCATCAGCACGTTCGCAATGTTCCGTGATCTCCTGTAATGATTTTGTTGGATCAACTAGATAATTTGCATCTAAAATGACCCTTCCCATACCAAGTCTATGGGCGACTTCTTTAGCAATTATCACTTGATCACCCGTAATCATTTTAACTTTGACCCCAAGATTTTTACATTTTTCAATAGTATCCTTGGTATCCGGTCTTGGAGGATCCAATAAACTAATGAATCCGATCAATTTCCAACGATTCTTATCATTGGAATCGGTTTTAGCAATACCCAATGCTCGTAAACCTCTTTTAGCCAAATCATTAACGGCTTGTGATGCTTCTTCATTTCCACCAGCAAGTTTAATGATGACTTGAGGTGCACCTTTAGCGATTTGAAAGGATTCATTAGTTTCCAATTTCACCACGGTAGCTTGTGATGATTTTTTTGAAGGATTAAACGGTATAAAAGATGTAACTTTATAGCCAGGAACATCATGATCATCATCATCGTGATCCTTTAAAATATCAAGTCCTTGTTTTGCCGCGGATATAACAGCCAATTCAATCGCATCATTTGCACTCGTTTCAGAGCAAAGGTAGGAATATAAAAGTATGTCAGACTTTGTAAACCCTGAAGCTAACCAAGGTTCATCGAAAGTGAGTTCATTTAATGTCATTGTTCCGGTTTTGTCGGAACACAGTACAGATACGGAAGCTAACTCTTCAATAGAAGTTAATCGTTTGACAATCACTTTTTTAGCTGCTAATTGTTTTGCTCCGACAGCCATTGTAACAGAAAGAACAGTCGGTAATCCAACCTTTAACAAACGAATGAAAAATCAATATAATAAAACTTTATTATGAATGAAATGACATGGGCATTCCGAGAAAATACTTGCAGGTATTGCGGCGACCGTTAATACTAAAATGTGTTGCAATACTCTCAACACATCTCCTTGAGGAGTACCTCGAAATTTTACCACTTGATAAACGAATATTATGGTAACAAGAATAGCGGTTATCCATATCAAGAAATTACCAATCTTATTTATGACTTTTTGAAAATGACCTTGTTCAACTGTCATGTTCATCAATGAAGCAGTACGACCAATGTAGGTATCAGCGCCAGCTATACGATAAAGAGATCAACGTTAAATGCTAACTCAAGTATTTATTTGTTTCAAAAAACTTGTATATATATATATACTTTTAAAAACTATAGCCAACACTTGACCTTGCTTAACTGTTGAGCTAATTATTATGTGATTAGAAATACGAAAAATGCCAACTCGAAAATTTTCAAATTTTTTAATTTAAAATACCTCGAATAAACACTGTCATCTTTTTGACAGCGTAAAGGTAAACTTTCACCTGTTAAAGCAGATTGGTCCACTAGCAACTTTTCTTCAGTTTTTGAACCATTTACACCAATACCCAATAATTTAGCATCAGCAGGCACAATATCACCTAAACGTAAAGCAATGATATCGCCTGGTACTAAATCTGCCGTATTTAATTCAACAAATTTTCCATCCCGCCGTACTCTCGTTTTTAATGCTAATGTTTGTTTTAACGCGTCTAAAGCGGATTCGGCACGTGATTCCTCAATAAATCCTATACTTGCATTGACAAATAATAATGCAAGTATTATACCAAAATCAACCCAATCTTGTACTATCGCTGCTACAATACACGCTAATTCGATTAGATAAGCAATAGATCCTCGAAAATACGACAAAAACTTTAAAAAGGGATGTCTTGAAGGGAGATTGTTTCAACAAAAATTAGTGTCAAATTTTAACATTTAACGTTTGTGATCCAAAAGTGCTTACGTTTTAGATTCTTCGATTTCGTTTTTGCCAAATTTTTCTAAACGAGACTGAGCCACTTCAGTTGATAAACCAGTTTTCGGATCTGTATTCAAGAGTTCTTGTATTTCTGGAGATATATCATCCGTTATTCGTATATGTTCATGATCGTTCTAATTACAAATTATATATAAAAAATAAATAAAATGAATGATTGTTGATCTTTTTTGCTTCTTAATTACATTATGTTCATCACTATTCCTTTGTGACGAAAGAGTTTCTTCTTCTTGAAAGGTTTCATCTTTTGATTCATTTTCTCGAGTTTTCGAAAATTCTGTATGCTTTTTAGAATCCGAGTTCATGTTTCGTTAATCCATCTTTAAAGATAAGAAAAAATTGGGTGTGGATTATATTATAAAAATTATGGATAATTCCTTACGTAGTTTTTCGTCATAAGTAAAATTATATATAATGGTTACGAAATATAAATTTGAATTATTACGTAACCGAAAACGGAAAGAATGGTCTGTGCGCTAAGGATCAGAATTATAAACCTAATTAATATAAAAAGAAGTTCTTGGCAATTATGTGCATTGGGCGTTTTTAGGTGATAGTGACATAAAGATTATCACGCTGAAACTATTTTATGTGCCATAGTAAATATATTGACACGATTCATTTTTTTCAACAAAAAATCCTCATTAAAGGTGACTTTGCACTTTGCAATATAAAGATAGAAAATTAAAAATGAATTAATGACTAATTCGAATTTTTCAGCACGAAAAATAAATAATATTACTAGTCCTCGAGGATCGACTTGAGTTTTATTCATTTAATAATTTAATGTGTCTTTTTTAAAAAAATTAATTATGCTGTAAAATGGGAAGGTTACTAGGAAAATTTTCTGAGACTAAAATATAAAAAAAATCAATTTTATAAAAAAAAAATTCCCAGGACCTGATATTCCTAGCAATCTAATTTACATTTAAAATAAAAAACCAAAGTTTCAAATTTATAAAAATCCGCTTATTCATTTTAGGTTTATAAAGTGTAGCAACATCAATACCATTTTCTAATTAAGAAAGACTTCAAAATTCTCGTTCCCTTTACCAGGAATCTTATCAACATCATCTTTAGCCAATAAACAAATCATTTTCGGTTTTTTACCATTAATAATTTCTTCACCTGAAAGAAAGTTTTTTAATATCATCTTTGAGTAGGTACATCCAGCGTTGCCTTGATCAAATCATTAAATTAGGATTTTTTAAAGTATTTTGTTGAGCGTTAATCAATAAATTTTCGGCGGTTTGGTTTTTTTACGTTCATAAGATTATTCATCATTATTCATCAGCTCCGGATAATTAATTTATCATCAAAGCAAGGATAACAAACCGTAAGGTATTTAAATATTTTATAAACTATTAATTTTTCTTGATTAATATCTGCCAACCATGAGAACATATTCATAAATGATGTTATTATAATGGCCAAGATTGCGATAACGGTTATGGATTTCGTAAAACTGCAACATGTCTCACCGCAAGTGTGTTCTGTTGATAATGTAACTTCCGTTCCCGGTTCTTGTCTCTTACGAAGATTTATTAGATCCCCAGATATGGCTAAACGGATTCATATCATTCAAGACACCAATAAATTCATCTATCTATTCGCGGTCATACTTTCCGCCGCAATGATTAATAATGTACTTAGTATTGGGCGTTGATTCTTTTACGGCCAAGTGATGTGACCGTAATTTCGGTTTAAGATCGTTAATGAATTGTAATATCCTAATTTGGTCCTCTAATCGATTTTGATGGTATTATATTCCAAAACGATAACACTCGCTACGAAGATAAGAATGGATTTGTAAACTAATTCGTCTACCGTAGAAAGCTCGGTAAAGTCATAATCCACAAATTTATAAAGAAAATTTTCCGACGCTAGTGGATAAACCAAGTAATGTTAACCATTGCATCAATAAAGCGGTATAAAATAATAAATAGGTTATAATTAAATCAATTCTATAAATTTTTCTGGTAATCTTTTTTTCTTTATTGATTTCAGCGGCCGTCTCACTATCATGTTCTGTAATTTTCTCTTCAACATCATCTTTGATACACAGATCATCTATTATCCGCAACTGATTCACCGGGTATTGGTGGTAACGATGTTTGTTTAATGTACCAAGAACCTTACCATCCTTTCCTTCTATTTTTGGCATATTACTTGCTAGGCACATTAACTGGCGATACCGTTGATGGTTTAAACATCTTGAAGGTATACAATACTTTTTGGTGGGGGGGGGGGGGGGAAATAAAAAATAATAAGCATTTTTATAAATACATCTCCAAGTTAATGTGTTAACGAGATTTAATACTAAATGCATACATAAAAGTCCTTGAAATTCTAGATATTCCATATACCGTATCTCGATTTGACGCGTTAATATGTTTGTTATTGGTTACAAATTAATATAAATAATTCTCAGTACATGTTGAATTTGTCAAATTTAAATATAGTAGAGAGATACTGTTTTGAACCCTTTTTAGGAGGTAGAATCCTGGTTAAACTATTGGTAACTATTACAGTTTAATATGGGATCTTTGCAATAGAAAGAAGTAACAGCCTAGAAAAATATAAGATTTAAAATTAATTCATTTTAATAATATCTCTCGACAATTTCCCCCATTTCTATTGAAGAAGTCCTCTTAAATTTTGACCGTTTAGCTTCATTAAATTATCCCTTTCCTTCAAGCAATAATCTTAAATTCGATATAATTCATAATCGCGTCAATAATTTATTGTTGATACGATTGTGAATTTCTATCGTTAAGCGTTTAAGATGAATTTATGCCTAATCTTGCGTTTAGTTTTCTAATGTCGGTGGTCAAATCAATTTTTAATAATTTAGTTCGACAATATAACGTGATGTAAAAATTAAAAGTACAATTAATAAAGTAGGGTGTCCAGAAAGATGTGGCGCAAATATATGCGCATATTTGAAAGATTTTTCACATATGTTATGTGCCACATATTTAGTAGTAAAACTGTAATGATATATGGCAACGGAAAGAGTAAATTCAGCACAACTTTATAAAGACAGCTACTATGTTAGTTGCACTTTTATGTTTTGCAAATTCTGCAACATTAGTATTGATCATAAAAACAAATCTAAGTTGAAGAACTAATTTGCATAAAAAAAATAAAATTACTATAGAATGAAAAAATCAATTAAATAATATACCGCAACAACAAACAAACCTTTGAATATACAATTGCTGAAAGAGACGAACTTAATTTGGAATTAGTTAAAGTTTTTACTGCAGCTGACATTCCTTTAGAAAAGGTTAACAAGTTAAGGCCTTTTTTTCATAAATTTCGTAAAAATGGTCTGTTTTAGCATATCGATATTTTTAATTCATTTATCATAATTAATTATTTATTTATTTAACATTTATTAGATGAATGGAGCATTTACTGTAGATTGGAAGAAATAATAGAAGAAGAAAATTGGATTTAGACAATTATTGGAAAGAAAAAAATCTCTACCAAATTTATCAAAAATAGCTTTGATTTATATTTGGTTATCAGTAGCTGGAGTAGATAGATGTAGAGCGCAGTTTTTCTAATTACAAAAATATTTTGAGTGAAATAAGAATGCGTCTCTCTGAAAAGTCAATTTCAATGCTTAATTTTTTGTTCTATAATCAAATTAAATAAATTCAATATTTTTGCGAATGATTTTTATATTATTTTATATTGCCGAAAAAGTAAATTTTACATAATTTCTACCAGAATTATAAACACATATTATCACATATTTCATTTTTTTTCACATACATCATATTTTGAGGTTCACCGTGGACACCCTATAATAATTATAATAATCAAGTTTACTTTGCGCAATGCATTTGATTGGTGGAAGGTTACGAATTACTTTTTTAAATCAAAATTTGCCATAAAAAAAAAAGTATCGATTTTCCAACAAAATAATTCTGGTCTGTATGAGGTGTTTTCACGCACTTTGTCTTTTCCATTATCTTCCTAACTTTTAACTTGTATTCTTCCAGTTGTAGAAGGTGAAATATCGATAAATCATAAAATTAGCAATGAACAATACAGAGCTAATTTATTTATTTTTTAACAAAGGATTACTTTTCACCTTTTTATTGTTTTTTAGTATGATCGTACCCATTAAAGACGCACTTAAGACGATATTTCCGAAGGCCTCTAACGAAAAAATCCAAATTTATGAGACCCAAATCGTTCAGGAAGATGATCCAGTACTGATAATTACTCCGAATGCAAACTG